TCTGAAAAGGGGCAACATGACAATCCCTGATCCTCATCATCTACTGAATCATTTGACAAATACAAAAAATGAGGCTCTCATACTGACCAGGTCCAGCAACGCTCAGTGGGAGACTGAAACTTTTGGCATTAAGCTCTGTTTCATGTAAAATAAATTATTGGAACATTCTGTCAGTAGAAGAGAAGCTGAAGCAAACCATTATGTGTGCTTGATAAAGGCCTGCCACAAGCTGAGGACAGGAAGCAGCAGTAAATGGATGAAGCCGATCGCCCAAGTATATTTGATGACAAATAAATATTTGATGTGTTTTTTAACAAATATTATCATCCTTTCACACTTTTTCATATCCGCCAAAGATAACCAAACAACCTTTTAATTAACCAGTGGAAAATCTTGTGCCCTACACATTTTGTATTGAACTTTGTGTGTGCATGAAAACAGTCAACAACAGACCTCAGTCTCAAGTGCTCTGCAGAGAACCAAAGAGATGCACCTTTTTCAGGCTTTAAAATGCATCTGGACGGTGTTTCTAAAATGTAAGGAAGTCGGCTTTTGCTTTTTAAATTTGTTGCATTTTTGCACTATTCTTTTGTTAAAGAATACTTTCTACTTGTCTTTACAGCTGACCGAGAGCAAATTAAAATAATAGATTCTTTAATCTAAACAATTAAAAAAAAACTTACTAAATACTCAGAGAAAACGAAACAACATCTAAACTGGCTGCAAAATATCTGTACACCATTAGAAATGGTCAATCAACTCATTTGCCTTATTTAAATAATCTACACATTTTATTGTAATTTATTTCTTATTTGCTGTGTATGTTCTTAATTTGATGATGTTAATATATTACATATTTTATACATATCTAAAATGCTTTGGCAATACTGTACTAAATGTCATGCCAATAAAGCAACCTAAACTTGTCACATGTAGTTAAACATTTTTATGCCATGGGTAAAGGATGTGTTTCAATCTGGCTACCAATGCAAGTATATTTCAGACCTGTGGGAAACACTGTGAATGTGTTGGTGATGTGCAACCCTGACATAAGAATTGCATACTTTTCATTTTTTATATAACTATAAATTGCTTAGAAGAGAATGTTTTAACTATTGCACTTTGCAAGATATTAGTGTTCAGCTTAAAACTGCAAAGTAATTTTGATAAGGACCTTTCGATGTATTAAAAAAAAATGAATGAAAAAAACGGCATTTATTCCAATCTAACTAAAAAAAAAAAAGACTTTGCTCAGAAGAAACAATATCATGGGAACTACAGTGAAAATTTTATATTTAAAAAACATTTAAAAGGATTAATTAATTATTTAAAAAAAGGAAAATTATTAATTAATTAAAAAAGGAAAAAAAATCACGGGAGAGCTTTATTTGGACTTCAGAGGTATAATTTTGCATACAGGTAACAATATTTTTGTATCTTTAAGCAGATATTTTCTTGCGAAATGGTACAGTAGAATATGGACACTAATCCCTGTTCCTTCAGGAGTACCATTTGGAAGAGTTTAGCTTTAACAATGAACCAAAGTTTTCACTACTATTTAGAATATTATGTGTGTAAAACGTATTACACATAACAACTATAAAATACTTTAATAAATTAAATATCTGTATCTGTCTATCAGATTTAATCTCTCACCTAACAAAAATATTAATAATGACCAGTTAAAAAACATCAAATGTACAGCCATTTTCAGATCTCTCTAGAGATGTTCAGAAGGATTTAGGTCTGGGCTCTGGCTGGGCCACGCAAGGACATTCAGGAAGTTGTTGGGAATCCACACCATTGATATTTTGGCGGTGTGCTTTGGGTCATTGTTCTGCTGGAAGATGAACCGTCGCCCCATTCTGAGGTCAAGAGCACTCTGAAACTGGTTTTCATTCAGGATGTTTCTGTACATTGCTGCATTCATCTTTCCCTCTATCCTGACCAGTCTTCCTGTTCCTGCTGCTGAAAAACATCCCAACAGCATGATGCTGCCACCACCATGCTTCAATGTAGGGATGTTATTAGCCTGTTGATGAGCGGTGCCTGATTTTCACCAAACTGGCATTCACTCCAAAGAGTTCAATTTTAGTCTCATCAAACCAGAGAATTTTGTTTCTTATAGTCGGAGAGTCCTTCAGAGGCTTTTTGGCAAATTTCAGGTGGGAATTCAGTGGCTTCCGTCTGGCCACTCTACCATACAGGCCTGAATGGTGGATATCTGCACAGATGGTTGTCCTTCTGTAAGTTTCTCCTCTATCCACAGAAGAACGCTGAAGCTCAGACTAAGTGACCATCGGGTTATTGATCACCTCCCTGACTAAGACCCTTTTCCCCGATCACTCAGCTTAGATGGCCGGTCAGCTCTAGGAAGAGTCCTGGTGGTTTCAAACATCTTTCACTTACGGATAATGGAGGCCATTGTGCTTATTGAAACTTTCAGAGCAGCAGAAGATTTTTATGTAACTTTCCCCAGCCTTGTGCCTGGAGACAATCCTGTCTCTGAGGTCTACAGACAATTCCTTTGTCTTCATGCTTGGTTTGTGCTTTGACATGCACTGTCAACCCTGGGACCTTATATGGACAGCCTTTTCAAATCATGTCCAATCAACTGAATTTACCACAGGTGAACTCAAGTTGCTGAAACATCTCAAGAATGATCAGAGGAAACAGAATGTACCTAAGCTCAATTTAGAGCTTTACGGCAAAGGTAGTGAGTACTTATGTACATGTGATTTTTCAGGTTTTTTAGTTTTTATAAATTTGCAACAATTTCAACAAATCTTTTTTCACATTGTCATTATAGGGTATTGTGTGTAGAATTTTGAGGAAATCAATGAATTTAATTAATTTTAGAATAAAATAAAATTGTAAAAGTGAAGCGCTATGAATACTTTCCACATGCACTGTATTTGGGTCTTAAAAATCAAGATATTAAGATTTCAGACTTAATTTCCAGGCTTTTTAAATAACTCGAGTAAACCATGATTATTTGTAGACTAGGGTTATAAATTGATTGAATTAATACATTTTCAAAAAAGCACCATGATTCTGCCTGGAATGATTCTTAGCTTTGCTATTTTAAACAGCAGATAGCACTCTTGATTATTGTTTAGCCATACACAGAAATGAACATGGAAAAAATGACACTTATACATTCTGCAGACTCATGCACATAGTCAAATGTACTTGCACCTAGTATGCTACAAGATTTATGAAAACAGCCTAATTGGAACACTTCAGTAATTTGTATAAACATTTCCTAACTTTAATAATGATATTTTAGGTTTAAGTGGTATGTAAAAGGAATTGGAAGCAAGCTGAGTACAGCCAGAGGTGATTCTTGGCTCTCCAAGGCACTATGCAAAAGTGACCACAGTGCTCTTTATAAAAGATGAAGAGCGCATGTGGGAGGTGGGAATGAGGCGGGGGTGGATCATAATTTGTGGGATAGAGTGAATCAGTATCAGCCATCAGTAGGTCAAAACTAATTACAAAATTGATTCAAAAGATAAAATTGCAGTGCATTAGGAAAATCTGACAATTGATGCAGAATCATTTCTCAACATTGGTGCAACTGTTTGTAATGGGATTGCATTTAGATGGATATGCTGATCAGATTACTGGAATTGATTCTGGAAAAAAGTGAAAATCTTTTTGTGCTTACAGCCTTACAGACTTTTCAGCTGGATCAGCATTAGAAACACTTCCTGCCTCAGCTGTCCCTGTGGATTTCGCATCCCACAAACAGCTCCTCATTTCAAAAGAGCTTCCTCTGCAGTCCATTGTTTGAAGCTGTCTCCACCCCACACACACAACAACCAACACTGACACTGAATGAAAGCCATAATGCACTCAGCAACTGAACTTTAGAAGAGTTTCAACGGGCTAATGAAACCTATTTGTCTTTGGTATTGACAGGAACCTGCAACTACAAAAAAATGGATAAGTACCTTCTTCTTCCAGGCATTCTCACTTTCCTGCAGCTGGGAGTAACGGTTAGCCAGGGATGTCTGGACCACATTGGTGAGCTTATTAGTCTTCAGCTTGCCCCGACAATCAATTTCATCACTCTTGAACTCTGCCAGCCTGCCCAAAGTAGAGAAAACATGTAATAGAAACTGACACTGAAAGTAAACTTTTCACTTAACAAGTTTTATCCATTATAAGACTTGTACAGGGTTCATTTAAAGGTGGGCAATCTTAAAAACAAAGTTAGTGTATGCAGGAGGTGAAGGTTAAGATATCCATACTTTTATTATTTTTTTCAAACATTTGATCTAAATAATTTCATGATGTGTCAATTGAATAAATAAATTAGAAATTAATTGCATATTAAATTTAATTGTTAGATTATCGATCAGTAAAGTTATTCTGTGACAAAAGCCTGTTACATTTGAAATGTTGCATTAGATTTTATTTATTAATATATAAATAAATATATAGAAAGCAACAGTCGTGTGATTCAGAACGTTTTGCTTCATGGAACTAATTTGAGAAACAAACAGATATAGGCAATTTTTGATCCTGTGTCTTGAATTTTAGTAATTTATCACGTAGTGAGTTATAGTTTAGATAAAACTAATTAGCATCTCACAAAGCATTTATGTAAATTTTTTTAGTTATAATTTTTTCATGACCCTGGTGTTCCTAGTGTCATGTTTAACTGCTTTAGCTTAAAGTCCCCATGAAATTAAAATAAAGTTTTTTAGATGTTATTATCAGTATGTGAGTCTTAAGGGTATCTATATGCTAGTGTGCTCAAAAAGAAAGACAAAACTCGCATTTAAAGATATAAACCTTCAAAGCTTGTAGTTGTGAAAAACTAATCAGCCTAACTTAATCAACAATTTTTTACATCACTAAATATTTCAGGTTCTGATTGAATTTTCTGACCAATCAAATGGTCTATAGTATCTGACTTGTCTCACTCCCTTCTGATAGAATTATCAGCTGCTGCTTTCAGTATATGGCAAAAAAAAAAGTCATGTAAAATGTCATTCAAACTCACATTGTTAGCATTGAACATTGAATAAAGCACATGAGGTGTACCTAAGGTGATCTTTGGGCATACTCACAATATGTACAGTTGCCTTAGCATGCTTCCCCCCCCCCCCCCCCCCCCCCCCCCAAATATAAACAATCATAAAGTCCTCGTGCTGCAGGAATTAGGAAGTTTGCTGAAAGTGTGCAGTTTTCTTGTCAGTGAGGGGTTTGCGTCTTTAATAAACTATGACAGCTTACATTTATTTAACAGTAAGAATAATTAATAAACCCATATGAAACAGTCCCTTAAAAGAGCTTGATTAGCTAATTCAAGTGTGTTTGATTAGAGTTGGAGCTAAACTCTTCAGGACACCAGCCCTCCAGGACCCTTTAGGCTAGACAGTCAGACTCACTCCTGTTAGTCATCAATCTGGTAACCTGCGCTTGCATTTGTTTTAATCCAGTAATGCAGTACCTAGTTCAACCACTGGGCGTCAAACTTACAAACTGCACCTTTAAGTTGAAACTTACAAACAAACCTACACATTTTAAAAGCCTTTAAAGGGATTGTTCACCTAAACATTTTAATAAATTGACTCACTATTTACTCACCCTCAAGTGGCTCTAATCTTTTCTGACTTTCTTCTGTTGAACACAAAAGAAGATATTCTGAAGAATACTGAACACCTATAAACAATGATGTCCATAGTGGGAAAAATAAATACTAAGGAAGTCAGGTTTTCAGCATTTCAAACAATCATCTTGTGTTCAACAAAAGAAAGAATGTCAAAAATGTTTGGAACAAGTGAAGGGTGAATAAATGATGACAGAATATTCATTTTAGGGTAAACAGTCCCTTTAGCGTGCTTTTCAACATTAAAACGACTTTTCCCAATCTCCAATGCACTTATCAAGAAAACAGGTAACAAAATATAAAAACATTTTTAAGACTCATTTTACCTCTCTTTGAGAGAGGAACTTGTGCTCCCATCCAGGCTGCTGTCTAGCTCCTCACCATCTTCAGACTGGGAAAGGGAAGGTGATTTGTCCACTGTATCTGGAGAAGGAGAGCGAGGAGTCTCACTTGAGCTGCTTTCCTCTCTCTGCAGCCTCCTTTCCTCTCGGTCCTCCTCATCCTCTTCATTTTTTTCTTCATTTCCATCAACAACAGTCAGCTCCTTGCAGATAGTGGTTCGCTCTTGTTCACCAGGTTCTAAATCCAGACTGGTTGAACGGCTCTTCTTTAGGATGCCTTTAATACTGCGCTGACCTGAGTCCTGTCTCTGCAGAAGTGGCGTGGCAGCTGTGGGCTCTTTGTCCACATTCAGAACTCCAGGGAAAATGCTCGAGTCCTCCATGTGCACAAAATGTTTCTCTCTTGCTTTCTGGTCATTCTCTTTAGCCTAAAGTACATAAGTAAAGGATTAAGGCCAAATAAATAAAGGAACAAAAATACATTCAGTCTTTAATTTTTTTTTTTTTTTTTTGGAGTAAAGTTGTTCTCCCTAATATAAAGCAGATGCATGATGTGTCCAACAAAACTAACAACTTTTTTCCTAAAGATTTCTTCTCTTATATTGTTTGCATTCACTGGAACGCTGTGCATGTTGGACTCCATTGCCTCCTGACATGTTACCTCCAATGTGCCTGTGTTTTGTTTCAAACCCAGAAAAACATTTACGCAAACTTAACAGGGAAAGAACAAGATAATACTGCAGCAAAGGGTGAATTAAGTCTCATAGACACTGTGCTCTGAAGTGTAAGGAGAAAGTTTGTGTTATTTTCCCTACCCAAAGATGAGGCTTTGAAGAGTCAGTGCTTTACACAGTTCATGGACCAGTTTCTTCCTCCATTTCACAAGTGTAAGTGCGTGTGATTAAAATGGTTGCCTCCTTGTTTTCTCTAGCTTGCAAAATATGTATTTAATTGTATTTTTTTTACTTGTAACCGCTTGTCCTGTATCTGGTTAACGCTCTATATTCTCATATCGTGTCTAAAGCCACACTGAATATGTGATGCATGCTGCTTTGTTTACAGATTTAAAAACATTTGTGAGCTTGCGATCCACTGCCATTTGTCGTTGCTATGCCCACCGTCAGCTGTTCCTATACACATGTGGCGTCAAGTTTCAAACTAGTTCAGCTTTTGCCCCTGTGTGGATTAATTTCGAATGTGTGTCGATGTTTTTACTTCTGGTTAAGAATAGAGCAATATGCTGGTGTCAAACTGCATTGCTTTAATGCACTCCTGCATTGGTCTCACACATACACTCTGCTCTTTGACTACTTCAAAATTGTTGATAAGCCTTGGTGAGTATTTCAAATGCCTGTTATAAGACAATGAAAGTGTTTTTTGACCTTGCATGTATATCAACCTGAACTAAAACTAAAATATGACTCTTTTTAATGCATAACAGAGGCTCTTTAATTCAAGTAATAATCTATAGTAAGCTTCCAAATACTATAGTATTTAGGCTACTATAGTATTTTTATGTCACGTAATAGCTTATACAGTATTTACCACCTTGATGACAGGCAAAAATATTTTAGCTGAGTAGAAAACTCGGCCCTCTTACATAATTATCATGCCCAACATATGTGGTTATTTTCTATTTATATCTCCTTTGAAATATGGTTTGAATTGCAAAAATATGGACATTCCTCTGTGTCTCCTTATCAGTTTTTTTCTTCCTGTCCTCCATCTGAATTTCACACATCACCAGAACTATGTGATTGAAAACAACCTATACCCAGATTTTCTTTGTAGGACATCTTTAAGCTTCTGTCAAAAGAGTAATCTAAAAAAGTAATATTCTAAGATAAAACAATACAAATTTTATATTAATTTCAAAAACACCATTGTGTTAAAACTGATTGTAATAAAATAATTAGTGCCTTGTTTTGTGACATATTGGCTGTGCAAGTGAAACAAGAAACACAATCCAACTGTTCTTTTAACAGAACTTCACAATAAAGACTGCTAAACTAATACATAGTTTTGAGCTTATTTTTGTAGTAAAAAGAGAGCATGTACATGTGGCTTCTAGTTCTGTGATGATTTATGCCGAGTTTAAACTGCATGATTATCAAAGTAGTCACGTTACAGATGTTTTCACACTGCTTGACTATCTGGGGTAGCGTTCTGTCAGTGCTGTGTTTACACTGCAACAGCGACAGGAGGTTTCACACTGCATGACAATAAAATAGGAAGAATCGCCAGCAACTTTGTCTCGGTACGCAAACCACGTCTAACAACCAAACGCACATGTGAATTGACATGAAAACAATTTGAGGTCATGTAGTATAACTTTTGTTATTACCTACATAATAATGAGAAATAAGTCTTTAGTGGGGTAGAAAATGTACTTATTTTGCTCATTTTTTGAATTCACAATTTCTCTCAAACTTTTTTCTTTTTTTCGGCCCGGTTCTGATATTGCTCAGATGACATGTTAAACTGACACGGGTGCTCCTGACAATTTTCACCTAGTTTTTCCTCCATTTCTTGGGTACAAATAGACCTAAAATAAGCACTTTAACTTATTCCCCAACCTACCGCTGGCCTGCAGATACCCAGACTGGAGGTAGGTAATCGTAGGTAAAAGCCAGTGTTATTTCAATCAGAACACATTTAACATGGCATGATTTTAATTCAGCGACAACTCCAGATATTTAGCATGCCAAACATCTGATGGGTATCTGATGGGACTCTGATAGTTCACACTGTGTGATTGTTACTAGTGTGAATGACATATTAATACTCAAATAAACCTAAAAAGTAGGGGTGTGAACCTACACTGCTCTCACTGTTCGGTTCGGTTATGATTCTCATGCCATGGATCCCACCTGCTTTTTGAGCCCTTACATCACTATGATGGGTCATTGCCTTCACCCACTGAACAGATGAGTGACGCGGGAAGAACAGCCACAGTTACAATCCATATGTGCGTAATGCGGTAATTACAGGTAATCCATACACAGTGGAAAAAACTTGCACAACAGGCATGCTCGTGTCTGGATCCACAAGTATAGCTTTAACAGCCAAGAGGGGAGGAAAAGTAACCTCACAAACACGCCAGCGGGTCAAATGTTTAAAGTGAAAGGCATAGATGGATTTTTACAGCATTTCTCTCTAGTAGTGAAATAGCGGCTAGTGTGCTGTGCCTTCTTCTGTGTCAATGAAAGACTTTCCAGCAAACTCACAAGCAGCTGAATTCTACATAATTATCTACCTTTTAAGTGGTAGGAGTGTTTTATTTACTTGCCCTCGCTTCTTCGCCATAGTATTCTACTGCGACATCGCGCATAGGAGAAAATTGACGTCAGTTCATAATAGCCAGTTATGACCTATTACTGAACTGATATCAAATTGTCCCCATCTGCATCGCTGTGCACTGAAGAAACAATTAATTTTGACACCCCTACTAAAAAGTATCTTTGAGGTACCATTATGGACCCTTCAGCTACATAAATGTACCTTTTTAAAAGGCCCTGCCCCAGTGACAATTCCTGTACCTTAATTTCTGAAAGTGTAGTAAACTACTAAGTAGAGTAGACAGATTTTAAAATCATCTTTAATTTAGGTTGCGTACAATGACTGATGTGTACAATAACTGCTTACCATTTGATCTCTTGCATTCCCAACATCCTTGTTGCTTGCATCCTCCTGTCCTGCAGTGAAAGACTGGAAGTGGGAGATCTTCTCATCCTGTTTGAAATTCTTTCTTTCTTTGGCATTTTCCTCACTCTTGTCTGAAGAGGAATAGCTGCAGAGAGCATGCATGCTTTGGTAAATATCACATTTTATTATTGATAAAAAAAATTCTGTAAAAATTATAGGTGGGCATAGATTATTTTAATTAATCTAAATTAATCTAGGAATTAATCTAGATTAAAATAGCTCATTCGAATTCTGCCAAAGACATTCAGAATATGTCTGCTATCCAAATAATAAGTCTTTGAGAACGAGTTTCTCAAGCCAGGTGGCGCATTAGACCAGGGGCTCATCTCCTGTTTCCAAAATGCATCACAAACTGCTTGAGAAAATGATCTACTATGATAATTGTGGATGAAAATAAATGCTGTTCAATAAGATGTACTTGTGTTTACTAACTGTTTATTAAGTTAAACATGAATTTTGAACTGTCCGCCTAAATAAGCCCAAAACAGTGATTTATGATTACCTTAAGCTAACTAAAGTCACATAACTGAACTAAACAGAAATGAAGTTAGGGCGTGAAGCATGCATATATTAGTGGCATTATTGAAATAAACACCGCATTCAAACTATTACTGTTGAGTAAGACTTTTCGCCATATTTTCTGACAAGATATACACATGCGGCTGTCAGTAAAGGACCGCACACACACGCACACACACATTGTGAAATGCGGACGTTTTTTTTCTTTTTTTCTTTCTCCTTATTTGCATCTAAAACCCCAGTTTGTCACAGCGGCATGAATTAATTGTTTCCAAGTTAAAATAAAACTGTTGTAATCAGGCATCCTGCTGATTTGATTCAAAGGGCACTTTTTAGTCAAACGGCTCACCGGTCAGGTATACATCCACACTAAAATATCAAGGTGAAAGTCATCATAGCTTGCGTAGAACAGACCCAGCTCCCAAACCAACTTTAAGAATAGATTAACGACAATATATTTTTATCGCGTGATAAGAGTCTCACGTTAACACAGCACGTTAAAGCTGATAACGGCACATCACTACTAAAAATCAATGATCTACTGTATTTATCCAGAAACCTGAGCAGTTGCAATTAGTGGTGATTAGGGGATAACAAAACGACTATTCAGATAGCTATTGCAGTGTGAGGAATCATGTTGCATTACATCAAGTTAATCACTGTGAATGTTTACTCTGTAGGGTGACTCATAGCAATGTCTGCTGCCAAACACAGTAAATAAAACAAGAGCATTAGGTTCAAATTCTGCACATTCAACACTCAACTCTCACACAAACACAAACTTATAATCTACACTATTACCTCAGACTAGCTGAAAAGAAAATGTAAATCATATTGAAAGCGTGCACACCCAAAACCACACACATTTACAACCGCCACATTAATATTCATTTATACTGTTTAAAGAGATCCAAACTGTTAAAGATATCAAAGTGCATGACAAATGGAAAAGAGAAAATGTATATAGTTGCTAATTTAAATATAACTTCCTGCACACTTTACACAACGAACTCCAAAAAAAAAAAAAAAACAGTTGATGTGTAGCAATCACACACTTGTAACACAATTGTGTCATTTAAAGAGTGTGGCAAACTTAAAAAAAAAAAAAGTCTAAATTAAGAAATGTCCTATTCAGGTTGTGTTTGTGGGGAAAGTTTGAAGTGCATTTATTTACCCTCAGGCCATCCAAAATCTAGATGAAAAAGCAGGTACAGGAGACACTACATTATGTTGTATAACTGCAGATGAACTATGCATATGCTTAACAGCGGAACACTGTAAAGCATATGCATATCCCCCCTGCTTACACTGTAATTTTTTTCTAATACTGATTGCAACATAATAATGCATCATTGCAACATATTAATAACGGTGTAAACCAAGTACAGTATGAGCCAAACTACTCAAGCTTTCTATCGCACAATGACTTATTATTGGTAGATCTGATGCAAACTAAAAGTATACTTGTTAACACACATCCTAACTCTCTGTTGTAAACAAAGGTTTCAGTTCATACGTTTTTTTTTTTTTTTTTGCATATTTCTTAATATGACAGAAAGCTTGAGCTCCAGATTCATTTGCTGTGGTAATAACGTACAAACCAATCATTCACCAGATCACAATATATCAATATTGTGACAAAAATAACTCGCTAGATACATTTCCATCAACCTATTGCTATGCGCATTTTGGATATGAACATTAATATATGATATTAACATTTTGGATATGAACATAATTTTTTATTTTATTTTATTTTTAAATCGGTAAATGGAAACTCCATGATGTGTATAAGTTTTGAAAATGCGTATAAAAAACGTATGGGCATAACTGAGTAGAATGAACTTTCATTTGATAGGAAAAAATGCACATAAACTACGATGGAAATACATTTACCAAACAAATTCCAGTATGCACATTAAAAAATGTCATGTGGTTTTGTTATAAGAGATCATGTGATGATAAAAGTGTTTGTGTGAATGGATACACCAGCAGGCTGAACACATTGTGAAACATGGGAAATGTCGTTTTCATCATCCTAAAACGCCTTAACCATTTCAGTATTATTGTTATTATGTTATTAATTCCCTCCAGAACTGTCAAGAACATCTGTGCTCCATGTCTGAGACCTTCAAACGTCAACATGCATTTATTGCATGTTGGCATACTGTCTTCTGAGGCAAAAGTTATTTAATAAATAGAAAAGAACATATTGACGCAGATTTTCCTACCACATCAAATTTAATTTTTACTTTTGCTATTTTCCGTCAGTTAATCACGAAGTGACGATTTTGCTCGATTTGACTACTTGGATGGAAACGCTGCTTTATTTGCACATCTTGTAATATTGCCTGTAAATTTACTTTGCATCTTTGGATGGAAACATAGCTACAGTGGTAATTAACACGTGTACCTGATAATGCTGTTTGTGGAGTTTTTAAACCACTTAGATTTAATGTTTGCTTTTTTTAGTTGATTTCATTCAATTGATTTCCTCTGTTTTTGTTTCTCTTTCTGTTTTCTCTTTGGTTGCTAACTATTGTTCATCAATGCTCAATCCTCATTCATTCACTCACTCACTCACTCACTCACTCACTACCTCACTCACTCTCACTCACTCAATATCCTTTGGATTATTTTAGTTGCCCCACTGGCAGATAATTTTTAGATATTTAAACTAGAAATGAGACAAAAATTAGGCGACACAGTGGTGCAATGATAGCCTCACCACAAGAAGGTTGCTGGTTCAAACCTCGGCTGGTTCAGTTTGCATTTCTGTCTCAAGTTTTAATGTTCTCCCAGTGTTCGTGCGAGTTTCCTCCGGATGCTCCGGTTTCCCCCACAAGTCCAAAGACATGTGCTGTAGGTGAATTAGGTAAGCTAGATTGTCTGTATTGTAAGTGTATGATTGAGTGAGGATGGGTGTTCCCACTAATGGGTTACAGCAGCAAGGCCATCCACTGTGTAAAACATTTTGTCACCTTGGAATTATAAGGTTCTATCTGTGTTCTGAATGATTCTGAGATATTGAGCTTCAAAGTTTTTGCATTCCATAGCAAACAGTATGTGTGTAACATTTGTTTTAAATAAAAAGTCTCTTAATGTAAACAACTTATATAAAAAAAAACATCCCATAATGTAAATAACCTGTCATTTAATAAGAATATGTCAATAACTACATTTTGACGAAAATGTTAGATAGAACCTTGTAAGATGACGATATGGATATGTTAGCGGTTCATTCCGCTGTGGCGACCCCAGAATAATAAAGGGACTAACCTAAAAAGAAAATTAATTAATGAATGAATGAATGATACAAAGCTAAGATAATAAAGGTGATTATTCAATTCATGTACCTGATTACTAGGCCCACAAGGAATCTGCGCGGGCAGAATTCCGCAGATTTTCCGCAGAATTCCACAGATTTCTGCAAATTTTTAGCCCATCGTTAATGCTGTTTATTTACTTGAGTAAATGTGTAAATCTGAATTTATTCTGTTTTTATTCAGTAATTTATGACCTTTTATTTAATAAATTAAGGTTTTAGTTACGATACTCCGCTGGATACTCCCAAAGTAAATCCGCAGAAATCCGCAGATTTTTACCAAAATTCTCCGCAGAAATAGCAAAAAACATCCACAGATTCCGTCTGGCCCTGCTGATTACTGATAGTCTCAACAGAAAAGCAAGAAATAGTGCTATTCAAACTATCTTGTAATACTGCAATTTCAACAAACTTATGCAGCCCTAGTCAGTATATGTTTGTCGAAATTGACTAAAGCATACGGCAATATATTAAAAACTAAAGACACTGTGAAAAATTATTCCTGCCTTTTTTTTAAGTTGAATCAAATGAACTTTTATCAATCAAACTAACTAAACAATCACATGTAAACTTTTCAACTTTAAACACGTAGTTAAAACTTATTAAAATAAGGTAAAGTAGCAAAAAAAACATTTGTAGTCATGAGTTTTGTCATACTTTTTTTTTTTTTTACAGTGTATGCTCACTTTATTTACATGTTATAAATATAGGTTCATAACCAAATGAGGGTTGGTCCATTTAAGTGCAGTCGTTTGCAAATAAAATGAGTTAACTCAAAGGCTTGTAAATTAACATTGTATTAGTTAATAAAAATTGTGTTTTTACAGTACATTTAAACACTTCTGTAAAACTAAGGTTTGCTACAATCTATTTCACAGTAAAATTCTGGTAACCACAGGTGCTAGTATTTTACATTAAATGTAACTTCTTTTTTTAAAACAGTGTGGCTCTAAACAGTTTGAGACACAACTCTCCAACTGAGAACAGCAGCTGGCCAGAACAATTTGAGACCCCTGCTTTACACCCAGAAAATGAGCAGACTTTCAAGATCTCAAAACTGCAGTTCACTGTGTGCCAATGAACCAGAAACATTTACCGCATACACAAAAAATAAAAACCCTTTTTAACCCAAAATGTGTCTATAAACTATATATCTTGCATCTACACTTGACCAGAGACTACAAACACACACATTTGTACTGCCATCTTTGTGGATTCTTGCTTAACTTCTAGTGTAACAAAAATTTCTAAATTAAAAAATATAGGTTATATTAGGTGTCATTAAATAATATGTACTTATACTGAAATTAATCATTTATTACAATGTACTTACTGTGTAAAAATGTTTTTACACACTTATGATTGATTAAATACCTGTCTGCAATAACATCTGTAAATAATTTCTGTAATTACAATGTTGACACATCCTATAGCATATCCCAGGAGTTTTCAAACTGTGGGGCGCCAGCACCTATAAAGGGGGGAGCAAGAATTTGAGGCGTGCACTCGAGTAAATTATGATGACGATTTTTATGCATTCACTAGAGTGAATTTGATTAATGTTAGCTCCTCCACAGCTAACTATTAAGCACCTGTAGAGTTAATGCGTTCGAGTAAAAATATACACAAATAAAATGGATAAGGTGCTTTTTAAAATTAATTAATGACTCTAAATGAAAGTAAATCCGGTGGGTTGTCTGACAAAAAGTGCCTTTCTGAATCAAATCAGCAGGATGTCCATCTGGATCTTTCACTTACTTTGAAGAAACTACTGACTATGCCTACATGGACATCACTAATCTAGTTATTTGCCATAATAGACAATAATATAATTAAGTTGTTTACTTGAAGTGCTTTTTGAAGGTTGCGTCCTAAGGCAGAGTTTCACTTTCACTCATGAACATTTTATTTATGCCCCTGTAACAAACTGCATTGCAATTGGATGCAAATAAGAAATAAAGACTGGTGGAAGAGTGTTGCTAAAGTCCTACATTATGCATACTCCACATCTTAATTCCATTTCTGTTTAGTTTAGTTATGACTTTAGTGGGATTAAGGTGATCAAAAATTGACTGTTTACATGGTAGACTCTTAATCAGAGTATTTTCTTAATTGTATTAATTGTATTAAAATCTAAAGTATTGTTGCACATGTATACGTACTCAAAGTTCGACTCAACCACACCATCAGGGCTTTGCGAACATCAAGAGCAAGTATGCTGTGGTTCACACTTATTGACATTGGAAGATGATCAATCATGTTGTCATTGAAACAGCCTCAGCCATCACACTGAGTCAAGTAAGCTATATATTTTTGTTTCAATGTAATTAATGCTACGCACTTTAAACGCAGCAAGCATATGTGAATGATGTTTGCACATGCATTATAATTTTGGTTCGTGGGAGGGGGGTTTAGGTGTGAGTGAAATTAGCCAAACTGGGGTGGGGGGATGGGTTAGGTGCTAAAAGGCTGAAAACCCCTAAAGCCTTAGGCCCCGTTTACACTAGTGCGTTTTAGTTTGAAAACGCATAAGTTTTGCTACGGTTACGCCATCCGTCCACACTACGCCGGAGTTCTCGAGCGCCGAAAACTGAGCTTTTTGAAAACGCTGGAGAGGCCGTTTTCATTCTAAAACGCTGCTGCTCCGTCTCAGTGTGGATGGGGAAAGACTGCAAACGTTCGCCTATCTGATTGGGGCTTTTCCTCAATATTAAGTAGCCCACACACAGTTGAGTCTCGCATCATCTTCTTGTAAGTTCAGACTTCGCAAGTTTGATCAAGGCTGCAGTCTCCCCCTTCTCAGTTTGATATGGAAAACATACCGAGGACACGGGTAAATCTTCAAAGGGAACAGTGTACTTTATAACTTCATTCACATCACCTTGGCTACGTTGTTTCACTTTCTCAACAATAAAATGTAAACATGATTTAAGGAACTGCCTATTTTCTTTTTAATATTAGCAACTTAACAGACAGCAGAAATGTTGAGGCGCCGTGCTGCATATATGAGCGTCATCTTCACTGTGTGGATATTTATAACAAAACGGAGCCGATAACAACTGCCTCCTTTCAATTTCAGTGAAAATACGAAACGCACCCTCTCTTTTGCTGAATATCAGTTTTAATAATCGATAATTTTAAAAGTATAACATACAATAAGTTTATACATTGTAGGAAATAAAGGCAAGCGATCAGTCAATGTACCTGGATTAATCATTAACTTATCTTTGCGCTTAACCAAAACATGTTACCCGTGAACAAGTAACTTAATAGATTCCAATGATCAAAGTCAGGGAATTGGCCTATGTCGTTAGATAAAGACAACAACATGAATGAAATATCACGTTTAGCAAATATAGCGAGATTAGATCCAGCGGTAGATGCTTGATGAGCAGTCCGACAAGCAGAGCTCTCATCTGGGTAGAAATGCTGGAGCGCTTGCCCAAGAGTGTGTGTGTGGTCACGTGATGTGCGTTTTCAGCGTTTTGGTGTGGACGGAGAGCTGTTCAGAAACGCTGGGTAAAACGCGAGTGTGGACGCGGATCGTTTTTATTCTACAACGCTGTTTTAAAACTAAAACGCACTAGTGTAAACGGGGCCTTAACCTATCCATATCACCAAACCCGTCCTTAACCCTACCCGTATCCCACCTCAAGAGTGCAAGTTCTGCAATACATTAGGAACACAGTAAGTACCATTTTATATATATATATATATATATATATATATATATATATATATATATATATATATATATATTTTTTTTTTTTTTTTTTTTTTTTTTTTTTTTTTTTTTTTTTTTTGATGGAAGTACATAGTTAATAAAACGTGGGACCAAAAAAGATCAATACATAAATTAGATTTTCTTTTTGACTATGAGCTTTTACTATACTTAACTCACTGTATCTCACAATATAAGTTAAACACACATGTACACTTACATGCATATCGTGCTGTGAGAATGGAGCCAAACGAGGTGACATCCAGAAATCTTGAATCTAAATGTTCTGACAAAAAGCCAAATCTGTTTTTTTGTACAGTAACATGTCTGTCTTTTGTACAGTAACACCCTATCAAATCCATAACACCAGCCCTTACAACAGCGGCTTTAGTGAAATATCTGTTCCAGAAGCCCGTGTTTTGAAAGTGTTTTTTCCTTATTTCGCATGAGATATTCATGAAGTCCAGACAAGGTTGGTAATACTGAGTGCTTGGTCATGATGCAGCCATCCGGTGAAGGGTAGCAGATGTCTGTTCTTTAGTGTAATAAGAAGCAGACCTCCACATTTAATATATCAGCCTCACTATGTCTAGAAGCATGTGAATGCGCCACCCACACATAAACACATAACAACCTCAGAAACATGTCATGCTTTAAACCACTAGTTTACCTTCTGGAAAGCTTATCATTAAAGTTGAAAAACAGACACATAACACACACAAGCACACACACACACAGTCAGCAGGCTTCACAGAGATGCTTATCTGACAGGCTTTTTGCATTCATCTGCTATGACTCACTGCCTCCTGGCAGGAAACAAAACTAAACCAGCACAGAGGATTACTAACTCCTAAACCTAGGCTTGCTGGATCATCTGAGATGGAATATAGGCAAATGAAAGGGATAGTTGATCCAAACAAATACATTTTACTCAGACATACTTTGAGCTAAACCTGTACTGCTTGCATTTTTTTTTTCATCATTTCAAGGCTGGAATATGTATATTTTTCCAATAAAAGCCAAAGTGTTCAAAATTCAGCAACACTGGTTCCTATTGACTTACATTGTAAGGACAGAATATTCATTTATGGCTGAACTAAACCCAAAAGATTAGACAAAAATAACAACAATAATAATAATGATAATGATAATAATAATAATAATAATAATAATAATAATAATAATAATAATAATAATAATAATAATAATAATAGTAATCAGGGCTTGAAGTTCACTTTTTTTATTTTGATTTTTAGATTTCCAACGTTACTAGCCACTTGCCATTTTCACAAGCCACAATTTTGTTGTTGGGAAAATATATTTTATATCCATTAACTTGACTTTGGCACGCTAAAATTACTTGATTTCAATTTTGTGTTGTCCACATGCCTCCTCGCTCATTTCCCTTTTTTGTAATTTGTATGACTTTGTTCAGTGAGCATGAGCATTTGGGCTGTGGTTTCATAGCGTCACATTGCATTTAGTTTTATTTCATTTTTTTTTATATACATATATAGTTACTTTTACATAACTTTTCAGGGCTTGACACTAAGGTTTTTCTCTAGCCACACCACACTATAATATTTCCTTGCCACAAAATTTAAATAATGTGTAAAAACAAGCAAAATATAGCTGTATACATGCACTTTCTATCCAAGAAAAAAAATATTAAACAACTGACATTTAAAAATAATTATTCTCATGCATCTAAGACTAAAGGTCCGGGATCACCAGTTGACTATAGATAAATGGGAAGTTAGTCTCCTATTAAAGCAATGCTATTGAAAAGGATGATAATAAAAACATATTAACAAAAATAACTGTGAGCAAAAGAAATCAGGTGAAAAACATGCCATGTGCACTAATGAAAGAATGATCAAGCGGACAAGGTAAACCTTAGGCCCATTAATAATCTGTTCAAAAAATGGTTAAAGCAAAAGTGGCAACCGCTGGTGCCTAAAAAAGAATCTCAAGCTCTTGAAAGCAGCATGATTGTGAGTACACGAGCATTGAGGTTTTTCCTGTCTATTTTAAAGAGAAACAATCGCACCAGTTGCGTTGTAGGGACGGTTTCTTAATGCAAGGAAATGAGAGTGTGCACACTTTTTAAAAACTCACATGCATCACATAAGCTGTGCACGCGACACTAAAGCCCTCATCAGTGAGTGTCTCACCGTGCGCTGGATCATCCTCTCATTCACCTGCTTTCTTTTGCTCAAGCAAACAGTTATTGCTGCTTCTCGATTCTAAGATTACATTTGCAAGGACACTGACAAACAATAATCAAAGTGGCCAGTGTGAGCGGCTGTCTAACCCACCACAGCTCAAATCTACCTGCATTTGGCGAATGTTAATGTCAAGTCCTGATAATAATAACAATAATAATAATAATAATAATAATAACAACAACAACAATAATAATAATAATAATAATAATAATAAAAATAAAAACTTTACCTGGTGAAATCTGTTCCCTTCTCACTGATTTCCTCTGCTTGGTTCTTAGGGGTGGCCAAGATATCTGCCTTCTCTAGTCCCTGGTGGCCAAAGGGGGAGAAAATGAAGTGAATAAATGCACTTTAAAGCTGAATGAGAAAAACCAAGGGTACTTTCTCTACATCAAACTATTTGTCTTGTGATGCTCCATTCAGAATTGCACAATTAGCTATTGAAAGCCTTTTTTTCACAAAGCCTGGGGCTGCAGGGGTCTAGTTGTGCGCGCACACACACACAGCCTGGGTAAAGCTGCTATCTTAAGATTAAATGAGGCTGATAGGAGAAAAGGGCTTTAGGTGGGGCACAGAGGTCAAAGTATTTTCAAATGCTCTTTACTCAAAGCTTGAAAAGAAATTGGCCGTGAACTAATATTATAATGAACATTTAATGGTGACAATCATATAAAATGCAGTGTTTAAAGTCCTATGTTATAAAAAATAGCATTCTTTACAAGCAACATTTGAAAAGTTCATCAATATATGACGATTAATTGTTTACAATCATTTTAATTCTAACCATTTCTTTGGTAAATCAAGCAGATCTCTGTGAACCAGTTGGACTAAATAATTCAAATCAGGTTAAACCTCTAAGTTCTAAGATTCTGAGTTTTACAAACAAAATTTATAAATAAATAAATAAATAAATAAATAAAAAAAAATAATAATAATGTTTTTACAAACAGAAAAAAAGTTCTTTTCTATGACATAACCAAGTACATTATCATCAGAACGTGGATCCTAAATGTTCTTTCTGTACATAGGACACATAAAAGTAATTTTCTTAATACTACCACTGATTATATACAAATCTTGTCAGGAAAAGTATCACCTGAAGGGCTGTGCATGCATTTTGACTAGAGTCATGTCTTTTACTACAGATACAGTCTTGTCTTGTGAATTATATGCAAACATCTTTTTTGTAAAATATATTTTAGAACAGTACTAAAAAGTAGCATGCATTTTTACATGATTTTTAAAAATACAATTAGAAACAGATTCTGTAAGGGGTGAGCAAACTTTAGCACAACTATGTACACCATGATCATATACAGTATACACTACCTGACAAAGGTCTTGTCATCAAATCAAAAATCAGGCCTTTATTTGTCACATACACTTTCGTATCTATCCAAGTTTTTGGAATAACAAATTATAGCTTGACTATTTGGTATCAGACGTGGCTTATACACTGTAAAAATGCAGGGTTCCACACAACTCCTTCATGTTGTCCCAACACAAATCGATCAAGTTAAATTAACACTTTTAACTTTTAATTTATGCGGATTGAACATAAAAAAATTAAGTTGTCCCAATAAAATCTCAAGACTTGTGTTTTTTTAGCTAGTTTAAATTAAGTAGTTAACAAGTTAAAAAAAGTAAAAAAAAAAAAAAAATGTGTATGAAAGGCAAAGGGCTATAGATTTCACTTATTTTAGCAAAACAAAATATGTTCAGGCTTGATATTTTATTATTTATTTAGGACAGTAAGATCTGACTTTGCTTAGACAAAAGTCTCATCACTTAACAGAAATACTGTACAGTGAGGAATAAAAAGTCATGGTGCAGTGAAAAAATAATTAATATTGTGTATGACTCCCATGAGCTTGGACAATTACATCCATACATCTCTGCAATGACTCAAATAACATAATAAATTCATCAGGAATGGCAAAGCGTTCTTGCAGAACTTCCAGAATTCATCTAGATTTTTTGGATTCATCTTCAATGCCTCCGCCTCCATCTTACCCCAGACATGCTCAATAATGTTTATGCCTGGTGACTGGGCTGGCCAATCCTGGAGCAGCTTGATCTTCTTTGCTATCAGGAACTTTGATGTGGAGACTTAAGTATGGGAAGGTGCACTATGATTTTTACTCACCAAACTTCTTATCTTTCTTATCTTATGAAACTAATTCAAAACAGTAGGTAGCAGCAAGTTCCTGTTTCAATGGGTTTTAATTCTTAATTTCAATAATTTATTGCAAATGGCTAAAGCATTATAAAAATGAATCAAGTGACTGTCTTTATGTCTTTAAGTGTTTAAAATATTTTAATTTCATTTTTGCTCACACTAGTATCATTTATATACAAGTTAAAAAAATGTGCTACAAACTTCACAGTGAAAGCTAAAGATAAAAGGATTAGAGCATACTTTTCTGAATTCAATGTCTATTTCTCCAAATATTCTCTCTTTGTCCCTCACAGACACACATACAGCACACAATGTTACATCAGGGGAATGTTTTTAAGCACTTATCAAAGAAACATCAGAGATTCAATTCTCTTCTTGGTAAGGAACACTTAAAGTTGAGCTTAAGCTATTTTGGTCATTTTGAACAGCATGTAAGATCATTTATATATATTAAAAACTGAGCTTGTGCGCAGCTCATGCCTGTGCTGAATACTGACAAGCCAATTCCCATTATTTAGTTAATAAATTAGTGTGCAAACAGAATTTTCCTGTTTTCATTTGTATGTTTTGCATAATGAACAACAGTATCTTTTATAGAGTGGATGTGTTGCTTTTTTAAGTAAGTATCTACCTCAAGACAGACAGTCAAAACATTATACAGATTATACAAACCAACTGCAGAATCACTCTTCTCTCTATAACCTTAAAACTCTAGATATTTTTCCACTTTAATTAAAACATGAGAATGAGAGACAGAATAAGAGATCATATGAGCATCACAGTGCTTACAGGTAAAGGGCACTTACTTTTAAATGAGATGTCATATCAGTTTTGATGTCATCTTCTGCTTTCCCATCATCTGTCAACACATGTACACAGGAATGTAAGAGCATGCACAAACACATACTGAACACACATGCTCCAACCTACATGACAGACTAATATTGCACACAATTTCAGATATACTGAGTGAAGTTCTGCCAAAAGCAGGATTATTTCAGCTGTTTGCTTTCATTTTGAAATGTAAATAAAAAATCACTTTTGAAAATGCGAACTGACAAGTGATGCAACTTGAACAGTTTACAAACACAAAATACTGCCATCTTACTATAGTAGAGTTTATGACTATACAAAAATGACAATTAAAAAAAACAGCTGTTGAGTGAAAGCATGGTAAAATCAATTCTGAAAAAAAGAAGACATGAAACAATAGTTTATGAGCTATGTGACATTCAGAAAATTAAATATGTTATTAAATATGCTTTATTTATAAACATATAAAATATTTGTGGTGGGCTGTTATCAGCGTTAACGCTAGACTTATATCACCTGATAAAAAAAAAAATATATCGCAGTTAATCTATTCTCAAAGTTGGGTTGGGAGCTGTGTCTATTCTACGCAAGCTATGATGACCTTGATAGTTTAGAGCGGATGTATACCTGACCAGTGAGCTGTCTGACAAAAAAAAGTGTCCTTCTAAATCAAATTAGCTTGATGCCTAACTTTAACCGCAGTTCGGCAGTTTCACTTTAACTCTTAAACATATCATTCATGCACTCGTGAAAAACTGGGGTATTAGAAGCAAGTAAGGAATAAGGACTGGTGTGGTGATGGTGTTATGGAATTTAATAATAATGCACGCCAAATGGAAAGAAAAAAACTTCCGCATTTCGCAATTAAACAACGCAATCAAACTAATACCGTCATGTGGGACTTTTTGCCATATTTTCCGACAAGATCCACCCAGGCGGCTGTCAGTAAAGGATCACACACTCACTCACTCAATCACTCACACAAATTTATATTGTTTGGAAATATGTAAAGAAATTATAGCCAGCTGTAATTTCCTCTTGACTTAATTTGTTTACTTAGGTATGACATTGATTCTACATGCTAAGAAATTTTAGACTTATAAAGTGTTAAAGGCTAAGGAATTTTTCAAATGGCCCAAATGAAAAAGATTTTTATTTGACCTATCAGAAAAAAATAATTTATTACATTTAATAATACAATACATTAATATTGAACAATTAAAATATTTTTGATTTTATTTCTTAGCTTAATATTTTAAATATTGTGTAAAAGCAAGCAAGCTCTACTTGTATCCATACACTTTTTCCTAACATAAACTTTATTTATAAAAAAAATAAACAAATGTTTTAAAAGCTTAACTATATTAAATTAAATCCTTGGACAATAATCTGTCCACATCGGTGTCCTCAGCAGTAAATATGGTGAACTTTTAAAGAAATGTTATTGTAAGGAAAATAATCAAATTATTATGATAAAGTTAAAAGTTTGCTTTTTAAAGAAAAAGTTTAAAGTTTTATTGAGATGATTTCAAACTTTTTAAGACTTTTTAAGACCCCACAGAAACCCTGTGTTATGAAGAACATCTGCTCTGAGCTCACTACAGGAGAGGAGCTGCAACATTACTCGTCACTGTATGTTCTTGATGTTGTAGTAATAGATATACATGTTTTTTAAGAGTAAAAAAAAAAGTTTTTGGAAAAAATGGCATATCATAATTTGGCTATGCGGACAATTGCCATTTTAACTGTACCATTATTTAATGCGAATTATGCAAAACATATTTTATAATTAATATAGCTGTGAAATGAATCTGTTATGGGCTGTTTACACCTGGCCACATCATGCCAGGTTGAAAAAAGTTGAGGTATTTGCAACCTCTTTATCTTGAATTTGTTTATTATCGCCTGATCCCTGCTCATTTTTAACCATGTTCAGATTGGTTGAATCGCAATTTATACAGAAGATCATGCCAGATTCTTTTACCTATTGTATTAACAATACTTAGTATTCAGACATTCTACTCATCTGGCATTCTGCATATTCAACAAACTAAATCAGAAGCAGGGGGAGAGGGAGGGAACAGTCAGCATGTCACATAAAATCTGGTTAAGACATCACACTGGCCCACACCAGATGGTTCTGCAGATGGTGTTCTTTATGTGGACTCTTAATTCATACAAGCATCTACTCATCACATTCACATTGTGTTCACTTTCGACACCTATGAGTTTCAAAATAATGAGCAATGGCTATTATAACAAAAGATTCATTTGATTATTGCTCCAAACTGCAAGTCATATAAAAGGTCTAAAGTCTTAAAATAAACAAGTGCTGATGTTTGTCTTGGATTTGATCTTTGTGCACAAAAACTCAATGTATTTCTGTACATTTTCAGCCAAATTGCTTTCATTCAGATTTTATAATAAAACTTCAGTGACAAGACAAGTGTACAACTAATTAATGATGTAGATAAATGCTAAAATCAGCAGAGTTCACACATTCGAACAAATGACCTAATCACAAAGCACCAGGGCCGGAGTGGGACTCTTTTTCAGCCCTGGAGTTTCAAGCCTCAGACCAGCCCACCTCAGTTCACCACTGACTATATTAAAATAAGGTCATTTCCAAATCAGTTTCTAATGACACTATCACGTCTTTTTTTGAGAAAACAGCACTTTTAGAACTTCAAATGTTCAACAACCCTTACAGTATTATGTCTTAACAATAAAAATGAAAAAAAAAAAATGTTACTCAGACAAGGACCGAACCCAGGTTGGCCACATCATAATCTAACGTACTAACCACTGTACCACATCAGCTGTATCTTTAATGACGACTTATCCAGTTATATCATGATTAACCTGCATCCTGCTCACGAGGCTACGAGAAAATAGATAAAAAGAGCAGAGCTGCGGTAAAATAATGAATAAGAAGGCTGTGTTCAAGTAAATAAATAAATAATTTTTAAAAAGTGTGACTGCTGAGAGCAACCGATTCTGGAACTAGGGACACCGGCCCTCGCGGCCAAAAAACGGACTGGCCCACCGGGAATTCTCCCGGTCCTCCCGATTAGCCAATCGGGCCTGCAAAGCACTCTGCACAAATGAAGGCTCTAGAATAAAACGCTGTGATCCAGACCAACTCCTAAAGCAAGGGTATTGCTTTAAGGGCCGCTTTCAGATCTGGTAAGAGTAATCTTAATTTCACATTAAGAGAAATGTGGCTGTTCTCACATGTAGCTGTGGTTACATTTAAATCTGCTCATCCAGTAAGGCATCATAAATGCAAAATTACCCCATTTACTTTATGGCATGTTATGATTTAAATGTGAATGAATCATTAGAGTGGATAACACCAGAAACATTCCACAAAGCAAATGTTTTCCTTGAACAGCCTATTACAAAGCAGTCACATGACTCTCGGCTCTGAAGTACTACCTACTTAATCAAACTGAATCATTTCACTTCACATCATATCAAAATATAAAATCCTTATTTAAATTTGATTTAATTTGTAATACCATTTTGATCAAACAAATAAGCATAAAAAACTTCCTATATATTGTTCATTTACTAATTTAAGCTAACATTTCACTGCAACCAAGTACTCAAGTAACGCCTCGTCTATTTTGTAAAACATCCCAGATAAAAGTGTTGAACAAGGAAACTCAATTCCCTGAATTCCTTTGGGGATCTGGATCTACTCTTAACTATCACACACTTTAAACTGAACAAGCTTTCAGGAGAACTGGCTGGCTGTGTGCATTTGCACATCTTTGAGGCTTTTTTCCCCCCACTGAATTGTACACATCAATGTTGTCAGTAATAAAGACATTAAGCTTTTGTCATTTTATATTACTTCAATTACTTTAATACAAATAAGAAAGATCATTCAACTCATCTGACATCAATGATATTTTGAAAGGAGTGTTATTAACTCATATGTTTGTGTTTTATTTAAATTAGGTTTAATGTTTTCAAATTTTGCTTTGATAAACAGTCAGCTTTTGTCATAGACAGTGAGAGTGTAAAATAAAAGATTAAAGTCTGATTGGTAAATGATGTTTGAGATTGAAACGCTTTTTTAATGTCTAAACTATTATATTATTATGTTATTTGCAAGGTCTAAACACATTCTCATTTACATTATGCAGCATGAGAAAGGACTCATGGAAATATGTTGCTTGCTGAATATTTTAATTTAAAATGGTAAACATATTTTGCTTAGTTGATCTTAAATTGTATAATTTTTTGAGCAATTGTTTGAATAAAGCAAGCAATAATCATGATTAAACACTAGAGCAATCATCTTCCTCCAACAGCTCTTAATTTTTTACAGATATTTGAAAGCAGTTTCAGCTCAAAATGCATCAGTCAGTGTCAGAATTTGTTTCATAATGCACCAGATGTGCTGAAACTCTTTAAAAAGGGGTGGTCCACTACGATATCATATTTTAAACTTTAGTTGATTTGTAATGTACAGTAGCTGTGTGAACATAAACAACATCTCTGAATGTAATATGCTCAAAGTTCAATGCAAAGTAAGAAATTGGCTTTTACAGAGTTAGCTTAGCAAGGCCTACAGCGAACGAAGTTTAGAAACTAAAAAAAAATTACATTTAGGTAAGTGAAATTACAAACGCTTCAGGTTACGCACATTCACCACACGCAGAAAAGGAGCATGCCCAGAGGTGCTGTAATGTTATAGCAGAGAAGGCTAAAATGCTGTCCAAATGCTGCTTTTCCACAGAGCTTGTTCTATTTATGTATTTGGGCTTCCAAATGGCATGACACAAAGAGAAATGCTTACAATTTAATTTTAATTATGCTCCAGAGAATTTTAAAAAGCAAATGTATAGCTCTAGCATTTGAAAATCGCTGTAAACACCCACAATCTTCAGCACTGCAGCGTCTCTCTATGCGACCGCTTTCCCTGCATTCTACATCTCAAACAACAAACTCGCAAAAGATGCAGTTTTCATGTTAGCTGAGTAGCAGTATATAATCAGAGTCAGATATAGAGCTGCACGATTCTGGCTAAAATGA